AGCATTACACATTCTTTCGTAACGCTTGATAGCAGGCCTACTAGTAAAATACCCTAATAAGACAAGGGGCTACTGCATACACAAATTCTACAGCCAATAGTACCTACCTGTCCAGTAATCCCAAGGTGAGTCAGCATAAGGAAAGAAATCATCACTTTTAGTTGACCACATCACATTCTTCTCTTCATTAAGATACTTCAAGTAGATTGATGGAGTCGAATACATCACATTAATCGATCCATTCTATAAGAAATTTTATCGGGCAAAAAATAATTTACATTCAACTCACACTCATTGTATTAACATATTTTATGAGTTTGTCCAGATTGTCGTACCACTCATGAGCATTCTCATACATAAAATCTTCGCCCATTGTCATCATGATATTATTAGTTTTATAGTGTTTAGCCTATCATATAAAAAACGGGATAAAAGAATACAAAAATGGTAACCTAGCTATTACTCATTACTTGTGTCATTGAAACATTAACAAAACGATTTACTCTTTCAATCACATTATCACCAAACAGTCTCTTATCATCCTTAAAATATTCAGCAGAAAAAGACATAAAAATAGTAAATGGTAATTTAAATTACCATGATAGGCGGATCAGTACAGACTGCATCAAAGCAAAAACCATGAGGCGCAGCATAATTATTGTACAATACTCCAGTGAATATATCGGCAATGCTTCCCAATGAGCCTGCACTTCCTTCCCATATCAGCTCCATTTCTGTTGTATTGAGGCGCAAGGCTTTGTCGGCATAATCAATACGACCAAGAAAAAAGCCATCAAACCCCATCTATGTTTAAATAAAGAAATGTCATAATTAAGAATAGCAGAGTTTCTTAGATGCTGACCAATGAGAAAGCAGTTGCTTGAAATGATGAGTGGCCAAAAGGATCAATGTGCCAGCCAACTGAGGGACGCACACCAAAGGTATTAGACAGGAACCTCAGTCCTAAAGACATCTGATCAACGATCCCATTGTAATGAGTGGAGGCTTCATCGTTCATGCACCATCCACCATTAATAAACTCTAACTGACCATTATTCACAAAATCATGAACCTGTTGGGAGAAAAAGTAGTATATGTATATTACAATACATAAACTAACATGATTAGGACTGAGGCTGAACTGTTTAATTCAAGTGTTATTATCAAATTATGCCACCTGTCACTGTTATCAGTCGACAGGCACTAAATTGCAATGTCATGTTATTATGTGTTATTATGGTATTGGTCAGCTTAGTTGAAAGATCAAATCAAGCAAGTGATATGATTATAATTATGCTCATCACCCATTTATAAATCTAATCATTAACCTCTATAATCTAATCATGGTTTCATACAGAAACCAGAATTGGTGTTCAGGAATTTTCCCTTTCAACTGTGTTTCCTCTTTACACTCATCAATACACTGGGGTCAGTCAGGATTATAAGTATAAAAATTATGAGTATAATCTTATTGGAATGAACCTTTTGTTTAATGTCATCTGTTTGCTCATTCCACCAGCGAGTAAAAAATGCTATTTCCACGTAAATGAATTTCCTGTCTTCATTTTTACCCAATTCATCCATAACACTGTCTAGTATGTACTTGACTGCTGCGTGTTGGATGCTGTCATTAGCTGTTGATAAATAATTGGTGATTAGGCAATGCTACTAATGAGTCTCTCACCTCCATAATAGTATTCATCGACGGTTTTGAGCCAACCCACGTCATCATGCGTGTGAGGTACCAAATGGACATTCAATACATCGTTAGCAAATGGACGACCATAGCACAATGAAGGCAAGAATATAAGCGAGAAAGAAACTGACACAGACCAAAAACCTGACATTGTGGTGACACGTGGGCAGATGATTTCTTTGGAGGTGTGGCTGGTAGTACATATATACGGACCAAAACATTCAGTATAGACTACGTTAACCACGTGGCTAAAATAGCTCTATTATTAGTAACATATATCTATGACGTAATTGCCTTTGCTATTGCTTGCTATAACAAGACTTGAATCAACTCTTAAGCACCAAGTTGTCAAAATTGAACCAACAGAGAAAGCTGAAGAGCTTACTACTGAGCTTTAGTAGATCCATTAAGTAAGTTATGAACAAACATCTTTGTTAGATTTTATTTTTGCCTTTTTTTCAGTTCATTTTTGTATGGACGGGAACAATAGTCTATACGATCTTTATTTAGCTGCAGGGAAGGGTTTTGTAGTCACTTCTAGCTCCTTTGATACCAATCCTGTGTACCTTAGACCACCCGTAGGACCCTCGACAATAAATCCACCACTCTTATACCACAACGAGGAGTCCGTGGATTTCTCTGATCTGGTAGAAGCTTGTGAGAAGAACATTACACCTCCAGCCCCAATAAGTGGGTCTGATTGCTCCTCTGCCTGCTGCTTTTTTGAAGAAAAGCCATTTCCCTTTGATAAGATTCTCCCTATGTCAAGTCCTATGTACAACGAAGAGGCCTCTCCTTATTGTGTGCCCCCTCCTCCTCCTCCCCACCCTCCTTCCACTTCTCATGATTTTGTTCCTCACGAGAACCCGTCACTTCCGCTAGACGGAATCCTTACGTCGACTCCTCACTTCTCTCTCCCTCATCCAACGCCCAACGTACCCGCAGCCACTTCCGTAGCCTCCACTACCAGTCGACAGCAACCCAGACAGTCTCGCTTGACTACCAAGCAAGCTAAAAAAATTTACAACAAGAACAGCGAGGAGTACAGGGACAAGAGAGAGAGAAATAATGTCGCCGTTAGAAAGAGTAGGAACAAGATGAAAATGAGAGCACAGGAGACCGAGAGAAGAGTTCACGAGTTAGAGGAGGAGAACACAGCATTACAGAACCAGGTATCTCTACTACTTAAGGAACTTAAAGTACTGAAAGGGCTACTGTCATCGGCAGACGGTATCCAACAACCACAAGTAACTAGTAATATTGATCCAGTCACTTCACGATGCTCTTGAATAGAATTAATTAATGAGATTTATATAAACATTGTTAAAATGATTGTTCTCGGATAATGTTTTTTTGGGATGATTTAATTCGTTGCACATTTACACCATTGATTACTTATTATTATTATGATTATTATTACTATCATCATTATTAAATTTTGTGCTGATTCTATTTGATTCTATTCATTCTACCCTCATTTATTTAAAATAAAATGAAATAAAACCAATATAGCCAACTATCGTCATTATATGTACATGCACAGATTGTCAAATAGGTGGGCCAAAGAAGAGCAGCCATATACATGTACACAGTTGCTATAGATACGTAAGGATGCATCTATGTTATGTCAATGAAGAGTAGTGATATATACTTCCTCTGCTAGGTATACTCTCAGTAGTAAACTGCTGTATATATACAAACAAAACTGTAAACATTGAATCATTAATAACATGTCATGCACAGAGGACTCTAAAATTGGTCAAGAAAGCAAGTTCAAGTGTATAGAAGAAGGATGTCACTGCACAAGAGGAAAGAGAGTCATAAAAAGTTATAATCTAATTATCGTGATTTCGATTTGACAGACAAGCTTGTGGCATAGTGATAAAAATGTCGATTATCTAGTAAATGTCGTATAAACATTTCAGAATCAAAATTCGTGTACTAAAATGTTCATAAGCAAAGAAGATCTGTGTCATTTAAGTTAGTACACACAAACAGTATGCAAGAAGTCAAACTATTCCTTGAATAAGGTATTTATAAACATTGCTAAATTTCAAATTAGTTACAATCTGCCATATTCTACATGCGTAGTACATCATAAATGACTACTAGTGTATAACTTTTAAAATCATTTATGTTTGTCTATATTGATCAATGGAGTAAGATCATAAATTGTATTGATGATTTCATTTCGTACCTTGGTACATTATGCAACTTTCTGTATACATGTATACATGCTTGAAAACATAAATATAAGTGGGCTCACACACTTGTGCTGCTTGACCCTTTAGTTCTGTGGGGGCTTGGTATCTATACAGAGACCATACTAATGACACAGAACTTTCTAGATAGCAATCATAGTATGAAGTTATTTTTGCTTTCAACCTTAAAAGGTAAGAAATATTAATAGAAAACTGGAGTGTGAATCAATATAAGTAGAGCAGATAGTTATGACATCATGCCATTAACTAGTTCCAGTTCACTGTGTATTATATATACTGATCTAATTACAGTTGCCATGCAACCTTCACAAAGCAGCAATAATTTTAAATGACACTAATTTTTTAGTTCTGAGAACGGCTATTATGTAAATAATAATAAAATTATAATTTGTACGAATCATGCGAAGGCTACTCCACACACTTGATCTCAGTTATTCTGGTAACAAAAATAAAAGAGGGAGAGTGATGTCGTCCTGTATGCAGGTGCACTAGCTTCCCCTACTTCCCTCTCTTCCTCATTAAGAGACAGAGAGTCAGACAAACCCTTTGCATATGGAGTAGTTCAAGGAATCCCTGGACTCATTCTGATAGCTTCAATATCATCCTTTTCCCTGTACTGTGATGCATATGCTCAAGATTCACTCTCATTATTTACACTTTCTCTCTCTCTAGAAACTCCCCCTGCCTCCAACAATTCAATAGCAAGGCCATAAGCAGCAGCATATACACACTAAGTTAGCTTCTAATAAAAATAACACTACAGCATCATATTAAAATAAAACTACACAAAAGCATAAGTAGCATAAAAGCAAGAGTACATAATATTAGGGTACTCTTGATAGAAGCAGTATACGTAGCACAAAAAGCTTTAAAAATCATTTGAGTCACATTCTAATCAATACTAATCAGTCACAGACATTAACCACGAGATCTATCCCAATCATTTATGTGATATAATATTATAATTGCAAAGCCACTTTTCTCGCTGATTTCATTCAACTACAGTCCCCCAACTAATTGACTACACCATTTCCACTGATACACACATGGAACATCATAACAAACAAGCTTTGATGCCAATTATTATAATTGCAACATGTTGCCATCAATTTTTATGCATAAAGGGGAATTTATACTCAACATTGGCAACAGGACGTGTACAATTTTTGGAATAGTAATGATCTGTTTAAAAACTGCAGGATGGTTGCATAGCAATGTTGTTGATCATCAAAGCACGTCCTACTGTCATAATGCATTTGTGTACTACAATAGAAAGTGTATCAATTTGTTCTTGTTCTAGTGAAATTCTTCAAATGCTTACACACATTCCCAAATGGTTCACATCTACTACTCCCAAACAAGAAGCAGCATAGGCTTCACCTCAATTACATACAAGTAAATTATCTACAGAAAAATTTAATACTACCATTGCTCAGCTTTCAAAGCAACATAAAATGCATCAGAAAAAGTTATAAAAATGGTACTAGCCACTTTTTCATCAAATTCAATACTATGGTCTTTGGCCAAATTTTGAAACAACTTCAAAAATTGATTTTAAAAAATCCTAATTTTGAAAAGATTTAACATGCCTTACTAGTAATAATTATAATGATAACAGGCTGGATGATAGTGATATTGTAGTTTAATGTATTCATATTCAAAAAGGAAACTATTGTAATAATAAATGCTAGATCAGACTTACATTTTATTTTCCCTCTTTGAGCCATGAATTACAGCTCTGATGAAGTCAATGGTCCAGCAGTTGCTGCTATACTCATTATTGAGATGGCTTTGGGTCTGGTTGCTAATTCCATTGTTCTTGTGATAACATTCACTCAGAGACAGTCCTGGAAACAACCATCAACAATATTCTTTACTTCCCTCATTCTGGCTCACCTTGTGCTGCTCTTGCTCTATCTTCCCTTCTTTATCGTATCCTCAATAGCTGGTGAGTGGGTCTTTGGCAAGACTTTGCAAGAGAAAAGAGACTCCTGCTCAGTTGCTGCTTACATCATCTGGTACAGTGCACTGGTCATAACATTGACTCTCTCTGTCATATCATTCGATCGATTCCTTTTTATTGTCAAACCCAACCAGTACAAGGCATTCATGAAACAAAGGGTAGCATTGTGTCTCACTATCACTATCTGGCTCTTAGCTGCACTGCTCAACAGCACACCATTGTATGGACTCGGTGAATTTGGGTACAGATCATATGGGACTTGTGTACCACTATGGGAAGATAACAGAGGCTATGTTTTCTACATGTTGATAGTGTTTGCATTGGCTGTATCTGTTATTATCATTACATCAGTCTGGACCATGTGCTTCACCCGTAACTTTCTAAGCCATCAGTCAGAGATTGCTGGCAATAGTGTCTATACCTCAAAAAAGAAAAGGCTCTTTGGGATATTTGGCACAATGCTGATAGTCTACGTGATATGTTTATCTCCGGGCTTCATTGTTGGATTTTTGAGTCAATTTGTAGATATGCCAGAAGAATTCTATCTCACAATGATATTTTGTTTTGTAGCCATTACCTTTGTCAATCCACTCGTTCAGTCATACTTTAGGGTTGATACTGTGATGTGCATTAAATGCATTCATAAGAAGATAGAGAGGAACAAATCAAGCACATGCTACATAAATGATGACACTGTATCTACCAGATTCAAGAGCAAATCAGAGCCATAGATCACTTTTAGCAATATTTCTACAATTTTCCTCCTTTTCATATAAATTAGGGGGCAGTTTAACAAGGATTTATGAATAAAATAATTAAAATATTTTCAATCGTTACGATTAGTTGAAACAGTTATATAATTGTCATTATCTGTTAATTTTGTTTTCACTGTCAGTAATCAATTGTGACACTAATTGATCAAATTTCCTAAAATCAGATGTATCGGCGTATGCTAACATATAAAAACAACAAGGATTCACTCTCACTTTGATGTTATCTCAGCATTCAGAGTATAAAAAGGGTTACAAAACATATCCACATATGCAGTATGAAGTTTTTTGAACATCTATAAACAAGAGAAGGGATCAAATGAAACAAGCATATCAATGCCATTATGGCATGTAGAAAGTTATAAATTTTTACATTAGGTATCATGTAACTTCATGTAATGTTCGTAACTACGTAGAACACGTGTAATCATTGTACAAGTATATGTATGTAGTATGTACATGTACAGGGTTTCCCACAGGATTTTGACATAGTGCTGACACAGCTTCCTGTCAGTGGATTGTCAAGTTGCTCAAATTTGGGCTATAAAATTGGTACTATATTTGGTGGCAAAATTGGTACTATAAGGGTATTTTTGACAAAAATCACAAGGAGAGAATTCACTAGTTTTATATTTTTTTTCTGATACGTATACACGTTCTTATGTTGTGTAGCAAGTTTGAGCTGATTCCGATCAAATTTGGATTTTTTATGAATTTTCAAAGTTACTCAAAAATCAGGCCTAAGTCCCTGTACTATAGTACATGGTTTTTGGCTAAATTTCACCAAAAATGACTAGGAGACAATTCTCCATTTTTATAATTTTTTATGATACACATACATGTTTTTATGTTGTGTAGCAAGTTTGAGCTGATTCCGATCAAAATTGGATTTTTTATGAATTTTCAAAGTTACTCAAAAATTAGGCCAAAGTCCCTGTATTGTAGATTTGTAGTCCTTGTCAGCTCATGAAGCTCATGCTGTTTAGCTCACTTAGCATGCTTTGTAGGAAGCCCTGTACATGTATACATGTATGTACATAACTTACAGGTCCCATCTCATTATCTTTTGACTGACTATTCTCACATATTATTACAAACTTAATCCTTGTGTTTGTGGCATAACCATAACTACAGAAAAATAATATAGAAATATTTTATCATATATTATTATTATTAAATACATTTTGTATTGTTCCGAAGGATAAAGTGCTCCCAAAAAGTGTTCTCTGAAATCAGAAGCAGCTCTGGCGGTTCCAACTGATGAAACTAGACAATAAAATCAATAAAATCACTATAACTGTAATAATAATAACTCGTATAATTTTCATAAAAATAAATCGTACAAGCTGTTAATTGGGCTCATTATAGAGGATATGCGTGCTAAGTATATTCATAGCTTTTAAGTACCGTATATCCAACCCACACAGTAAATTGGCCGCCATGTTGGACGTCAAGTTTATTAAGAGTTCAATGGGGGAAAACACATTTTCTTGCCTTGCTACCTTCTTAAGGCCTTTTTCGGAAGCTTAGAAAGCATCCTGAGGATCTAATGGGGTCTAGTAGTCACCTGAAAGATTGCTATCAAGAAATACAGAGTGGTTTCCTGGTACCAAGCCTTTTTCTATCTTTTCTCCATTGCTGCCAATGGAAAGTTGACGTCCAACGAACTAATTTTTTTCTTGAAAGTTATTACGGTATGCAATGAATATATTTATTTTGCAATGAATATACTTAGCACGCATATCCTCTATTAGGGTATGTCCTTTTAACTCCTTTGCATACTCAACGAGTGGTGTATATGTTTATTTTTATTTGGTGGCATGAGGAGTATGTGTAAATAAATAATAACAAAAATTGGTAAGCAAGCTAAAGCTTACTTTTCTCTTCAATTACATCGATTGCTGTATGGACTATGTGATGAAACGTCATTTCATTGTCAGCGTGAACCGAGGCTGTCTTTATATACAGGGGGAAGTTCTAAATATGAGCAATAAAACGTTAATAGAATGAGTGTCCCTACTTCTTTGGAGATAACAGAGACACAAACGACAGCCATGTTCTTGTAGCCACACCTTTATTTAACGCCCACGCACATATTCACGCCCACACGTTGATTTGCTGGAATGAGAGCCTTCAGTTGAATATGCCAACACATAAAGACTTGGCTGAGGCTAGAAACAAAGGAACAGCAACTTCAAGTGGAGCATTCACTGCCGAAACATTAATAGCTGGAAGATATGGCCTTGGTTGTAGATTAGGTAGTGGAAACTTTGGCACTGCCTATGTTGTTCAGGATCACAAAACTGGAGAGAAGTAAGCTCTATTGTATGTCCAATTATTATCAATAAAATTATAGAAAAGTTCTTAAGAGAATTAACATTGGGGAAGTGCAGCCAAATGAAACAGTAGAAGCAGTCAAGGAAGCAACTTTGCTTGCTCAGGTTTGCATATGAAATTATCGATGCCCATATTAATGAATATTTTATTTATAGCTGGATCATCCTGCTATTGTGAAGTATCATGATAGTTTCATGGATGTAGAGCATTTCTGCATTATCACCGAGTACTGTGAAGTTAGTAATAAGTCTAACTGATAGATTCAAGCTCATCAATTTAATTGTATAGGGTGGCGATCTTGACTATATGCTTAAGAAGCTGAAGTCGACAAATAAAATATTGGACGAGTCATTAATAATGGATTGGTTCATACAGTTGACTAATGCTGTCCACTACATTCATGATAGGTATTTACTATAACCTTGATGATTGCAGACATTAATTTATGTCTTGACAGGAAAGTTTTGCACAGAGATCTAAAGACAAGGTATTTGTTTATTATTTCTTTCATTCAGTCATGCATATCATTGCCACCATCATTAAGCACTCTTTGTATATTCTCTTAGAAATATTTTTCTTAAAGACAAAAAGATAAAACTTGGCGACTTTGGGATCTCTCGAATATTAGTCGCTACATCAGATTTTGCTACAACCTTCACAGGAACACCATACTACATGAGTCCTGAGGTTCTAAAACATGAAGGATACAACTCAAAATCAGATATATGGTAAGTAATATAATTTAAAAGTTTGTGGGCTGCATCCTGCTTTATATGAACTACTATATACTTGTGCATAACATTGCTGTTTTTAATAGGTCATTAGGTGCAGTACTTTATGAACTATGCACATGTGAGCATGCTTATCAGGGTCAAGTAAGCAAAATATTGACGAATATGCAATAGCTGCTTTGCACCATCTAGAACATCATGGCCATCATGTATAAAATTGTTGAAGGACATCCTCCAAGACTGCCGAATCACTTCACGCCTTCAATGAGATACTTGCATTCAAGGTAAAATAATTCACTTTACACATTGATGTACCTATATTAATTAAAATAGAATGATGGATAAGTCACCGGCAAGAAGACCATCAGCAATAGAAATCCTTCAAGATCCATGTGTTAAGCGACATCTTGAGGTAGATCTATACAAATAAATATACACGAGAGACAACTTGTGCTTTTACATTATAGTCTCATAAGCTGTCATTATCACTAGTTCCCAAGGAATCTAATCCATCAGAGGAAGCAAAAGCAATAGCTCAAGCACTGTGAGTTCATCAATGATAAGGACTGGAGGTTATAATATGGCAATAATAGTAGCAATCAAGTTCCTTCTAAAGGACATAAAGATCAAAATAAAGATATCTCTGGAGTAAATAGGTATTGAATCTGCATAAAAACATTATATATATGGCATGTTAATTCAGGTCACCATTGGAATTGCCAGTAAACAAAAAGTTAAAAGTATATATTGTCTTTACAGTTATAATATACTTATTATAATTATGCTATCAGTCAAGGGATAAAGTGCCTCCTTGGGTAAAAGAGCATCCCGATGTATTTGTAGGTGGTAATATATCAATGACAGCATTTGATACTTGTGAAATGAAGGAAGAAGTTGATAAGTTAGATGAATCTCTGTCACTTATGGAAGTGGCACCAGGACAATCTTCAGAAATTAGACAAAAGGACATGAACTCCATGACAGAATCATACCAACCTAAGCGTTACTCTCAGCAGGTAAGTAAAACAATTACATGTCACTGAGTGTATATGTTTTATTGTTGTTTATTAGCTTGATACATTAAAGTCCTCAAGTTCCTCAGATGAGGTATATATAAAACAATTATCTACAAGTAGATATAGATTTATTTCTTATAGGTAAAATACACTTCTACTAAAGTACCAGGGACAGGTAAAAAGAATTTCCTTACACTAAATCTTTATTAATAAAATAGATAGAGAAAAAGTGCAACAATCTCACGATGGTTTCTCCTTGTTTACTCCCATTGCTAGCGAGAGGAGAATGCTTCAATTACAAAAGCAAGACTATAACAATCCCCAGTATATGATATATTCTATTATTAATTTCATTTACAGTGATGCACTAAGGATCTTTGGGCCAGACGTATTTCAAAGTGTGTACAGATATCTAAAGGTTGCTAGAGCTGATGGAGGAGTGGCTGATGAAGCGAAGGTTTTGATGGGATTGAGATCCATCACACAAAATATTAAAGATTGCTTTCTTGTCGATCAGCTTGTCTTCTTAGAGAAACAAAGAGAGAATTCACTTTGAAACTGTGTGAACACAAGGACAGTCAAATTTTATTTAAAAAGCATTAAAAATAAATATTCAAAAAATTATAAAAATAATTTTTATGATATTAAACATGGTCTAAAATCAGAGGCTGAGGATAACCCTTCCTAAATAGAATCCTCCTGAAACATCTTTCAAACCACATGGCTAGTCGTATTGGCCAAACTCGAAATATCACTTGTTCAAATTGCTCTGTTCCACCAGTCTTTGGAAAAAAATGATAAAATTTGAAGTATAATCAATGAGTATGTCTATGCATACTTGAAGCTGAACTGTATAAGATTGCTGTCTCCTCCAGACAATGTATTTAGCCATTCCCACAAAATCCAAGAACCTCAGCAAAGGGTTACTAGCAATTATCCTTTCCAGGCTCCCTTGCATTACATCGCATAATATAAATGAAGCTGGAGCTACAGACAGAAAGCATTAAACTTATAACAGAGTGACTCTTACCTCTCCTTATTATGCTGAAATACATGTTGATGCTTAGATTAAGTTTTTGATACCTAAAAGAAGATTATTAGGATCATTGTTAATAATAATAACAATGCTTGCTTACTTTGGATTGACCCATCCTAGTACAACTTCGTAACAACTAACAGGTAATTCACTTGTATTGGATAACGAAGTACTCATTTCGCCAACAGAGTATCCAACAAGGCTATCAACCTATAACAATACTCGGGGAATTGAGCTTTTAAAAAGCTTTACTTACATTAAAGTCTTGCTCAATATTCAAGTCCTTTTTGCTCTTCCCAGGGAGCATGAAAGAGCAGACACCTGGGTATACTTTATTGCTGCTATCAATGTTTCCAATAAAACCCATAAACTGCTGCAACGTTTCATGACCACACCTACCACCACGATATCGCCATACCCTAAAAAATGATGAATCACTATAAGCTAATGCGACACTTGTAGCTTATGGGGCCAATTATTATTCAAAATGATCAAAAATCAAAAATTTCTGACCAAAATAAGTTCAAAATTTCTAGATACATGTGTAGCTCATATTATCTATACCTGTCCTCATTGTGGTATATCCAGTGAATGATTTCCTCTTGCGTGGCTCTTGGCAATAGCTCCATTTGAACAATAACAGTTGACTCCTTTAGAATAGACTGTATTTCCTTGTACTAAATTATTGATTGACATAAAAACCAATCCACAAAAAACTACCCATTACTTTCTTAACTATGTGGGCCTGATCTGTTGACTTCCATTTGCCAAGAAAAGCCTAATAATTTGATAGTAAATAATTCATCAAAGTAACTACCCTTTTCTCCCTTCTCCTCTTCCTCTTTCTCTCCCCCCCCCCCACTCTCTACTCATACTCTCATCTGAAGCAGTTGTTTGTGACTTTGTTCACACATTAGTTTCACGTCTGCCTCTAGACACCATTCCATCAGTTTCTCTTGAATAAATGCCACCAGTTGAGCTACTATCTCTTCTTTATTTTTTAACTTTCGTTGACTGCTTTGTGTCCTTGTCTGGGTCTTCACCCAACGCTCATAATCAAATCCTTTGCTTATGATATCAGTTCTACTTTCGCCTTCTTCAACAAGGACGCTAATGTACTGTGACATGTACTTACCTAAAAACCTATAGAGAATGATAATAACAAAATTCATCTCAAAGCTGGAAACCCATTTCTATTCATATTGTCATTCTTAACACTGCAGTAGTGCTTTAAAAATAAATTATAATACTACCTAAATGGCTTCAAATCATCTCTTTCAAGTAAATGAGATATCACATGCTCAAATACAAGTCCAGCAAAATCCTAATAGAATAAAGTGTGTAAATTATAGATTATATGCATCATAGTTATAGAGAGAGATCATACTTTTGTTATTCGTGATCTTTGTCTCCCATAAACTGGCCGACGTGAATCACTGCTTGAAAGAGTAAATCCAGGATGAAGTATCATGTCAATACCACAGCGAACCTTCTCTGGCCTAAAAAATAAAAATACCGCAATAATTTCATTTAGAATGCAAATAATTCTTATATGTCTGACCTGTGGTCATAATAGGTTCTCCATTCAGCAGAGAAGTCATGCTGACACGTTAACATGCTACCTGTCAGCTCTGGTTGCACAGATCTATTAAAATAAAGAGTACCATATGTGTTTTATTATATAAAAGAGTCTGCCAAACCTTCTTAGTAAGTCCCAAGTCTTTGGATTGGGATAATTCTGAGGTATTATAATAGCTGGGACTAAAGAGAGGGAGTGGTTCTCCGGGAGTGGCTCCAATAGTTTATTGAACGCTTGTATCCATACTTGAGATGTGTCGTATGGATGACCATTAGTGTATGCTTTAAATACATACAGACCTAATGCAATGGACTATAATGGTCACGTCTTATGCAGAAAATTATATAATAACCTTCATTGCAGAGTAAGATTTCACAGTTCTCAATCTCAGTCCCACTCTCATCATAAATTGAGAGGAATCCACTATCAGCCCGGATACCAATCTTTCAGGATTTTAAACTCAAAATAAATTTAATTTCCTATTGCAATCCACCTACTTCTAATGGCCTTTCACAGTGTTCCCCATTAGGAGCATAACAGCCAATAATCTGACCACCACAGCACCTAAAACACAATTATTTATTACTAAAGCATTGATTATTTTTTATATTTCTTACTTTACACAGTCAAAAAAATTGGTATTTAACAAAACGGTGAATGTCTTTGGCTTAATTGGAGCATTTGCCTTAAGATATGATTGCTAATATAAAAGATCATAAATAACAAAATCCATTACTTGTTTTTCAAAATCAGACTCAATGTCATCTTCTCGTGTCAACAAAGCAACCTACACAAATAAATTCATATCAACACATACCAGCTTATAATTTAGAGTATAATGACCTTTCTTTCGTGAATCCTTCCTTCTCTTGTTCCACCTAGTTTCTGATCAATGGCTCTAACTGCAACTGACCGATGACCCTATGATGGAATCTATGTCAGCTAGGGTTCATCACCGCAGTGGGTTTTTAAAGCTGCTCAAATCAACTTTGAGCTGAGGCCAAAGTCTCAGTACTGTTATACAGGGACTTTGACCAAATTTCACCAAAAATGACTAGGAGAGAATTTTTGATTTTTATAATTTTTTCTGATACATATACATGTTCTTATGTTGTGTAGCAAGTTTGAGCTGATTTTGATCACAATTAGATTTTTTATGAATTTTTAAAGTTGCTTTAAAAGGTGTGTACTATTATAATGGTTGAGCATGCCTTTTTGCTTACTTAGCATGCTTTGTGGGAGACCCTGCTGGGTATATAAAGTTATACATTTCAAAACAGTGCGTACCTTTAATTCTGAGAGTGTGAGTTCTTCTGAGAATAGATTGACACTTTTAACAAATTCGCCATTCACAGAAACCTATTGTATCATACACAGTTGGAGAGAGAGGGAGGGAGTAAAAAGAAATAAAGAAGGCAATCAGCTAACATGAGTGATGTTCATTTCTTTTAATATGTTAGCAAATTCAGAGTAGCAAGCCAATAGCGTTTGTCTCATGTTTTCCTCCAGACTATGAGATCCGTCAGTTTTTACTTTCAATGCGAACGACTACAAAAAGGTAAAACTGTGAGCAAAACAACAATAATAATGATTTTACATTATTCCAAAACTGCTCGCTATAAAAGCATTCGGACGTCAACTTTTGTACATCGTTGCTGTTTCTCTCTAGAGACAATACTTCAGTATTAAGGCAGTTATTCCTTGCTAAGAGTTTCTCTGCCGGATCCGTCAAATCTTTTCCAACATCAAATGTAAGGTAATTCTTTATCATTTTGGTGAGAAGGATCTTCAAGGCACTATATCTAGGAACCTAAAAAGTAATGAAATGTATTCTATTAAAATTTTCATTTTAAAACCAGCATATGTTCTATTCTTAAAGCTGCCAGTGATAATATGTCCATTGCTTCCTTACTATTTAGTACTTCGCTTGGAAACATGCTATTATTACATAATACTAGTAATAATTTTGTATATGTTTATCATTTTTACTTTTCAAAAATTTTTTCAAGCTCTTCGCTTGAGTGATGATGAAACTCGTGAAGATCATTGCTGAATAATGTTCTGTACAACAAAACATAATAATAATAATAATAATAATAATAATAATAACAACAATAATTTTATAATGAATATTATGATTATATTACCTGAAAAGTGCTAGTCTTGATAACTGACTCAGTTTGCTTTCCCATACTTCCTTCTTAAACCTAAAATCAATGTAAAACAATGGGAACAACTTTACTCTAAATCAAACCTTTTCTCAGCCAGTGCCCCTTCAACATCTTTGAGAGTAGACAAGACGAGTTTCTTCATTACTTCTATGCTGTTCAGTTTCTTTGTCTCTTTTTCGTTTCTCTCTTCATCAGTTAGTTCCTCCTCTTCAGGTAATGATAGATGAGTCGATGGACTTTTTGTGACATCCACGACAGCTAAAATAATCTAAAAAAGAGGAGAAAAAACAGAAAGAGAGAGTAAGAGGTAGCTATATACTTGTATATAATTTACCTCACAAAGGGATAATAGCTGTCTATTATTGATTTCTCCTTTTCCATAGCTATAAAGATACGATCGCAAATTATCAAACAAGCCTTCATTAAATGGATTACGACAAACTTTAAAAACAGAGCGAATCTCCTAAACAACCATGGATCAATAAATGACACTTATAATAAAGGGCTGGGTTTACATTGCGCTTTCCCTTAAAGATCAATGTATGAAAAAACTGCTGAATTTGACTGGATTCTTCCGGAAAGGCATATAGCATGTAAACACAGGCATTCTGTATTATGATGAAATAATTAAAAAGAAATATAAACAAAATCTGACTCTGATGAGAAAGAGAAGAGAGCTGTGCCCAGATGTAACCAATTGTTGAACCAGCTGCTTAGTGAATGATCTAACATGTACACGAAAATTATAGTAATAAAATTTGTAATTCTAACTTGAGCTCATCTGGTGATATAGATTGAGGGAGAAGAGATGAAAGGAGTTCAAATCCATGTGATATAAATTCTTCTATGCCATGGCCACCAAGAAGGGCCTCTATTGGCAATAGTCATTATTATGAAATAAAAACTTCATCCACTTATGCAATGAAGTTACTTTTAGTCATGTAAAGGATATCAATAGAAAGGGAGAGTTTCTCTTCATCAGTGAAGTTCTTAGTGTCAAGATTACGGGCTAGTTTAGGCATGACGATCCCGCAGAGTTCAAAAGGAGTGCTCATCTCATTTTCTAGAGAAAGAGTTGATAAGGAAAGAAGAGAAATGGCCAGTCTTTTCTTGTCGACTCTCCACATCAGAGACGTGTCCCGTGGTGGAGGTACCTCACCAAAGAACCTAGAATGAATAATTCCATTTATAAATACAGTAATGGAGTTGTAATATACTTGATAAGTTTCTCTCTGTTTTCCTTATTGACAAACGATGGAGGAGCACTTGAAAATAAACGAGGAAGAACGCTTGCAAACATGTAGCAAATATTGTCTCCATTCCTTACCTAAACCAAATAAATGGAATAATGTACACAATGCTTGAGCAGTTACCATGGAGCATGCCAGGTTAAGGAGATGAGTTAGGACTACAATACGCTCATGTCTATCCTTTAGTTGTTCAGCTCGAGTGATCTCATTGCTTTCTTCACTATCATCTAAATGTGGAACTAAGGAAATAATTAAAAAGTTAAGTTATGCATGAAATTGCATATAGTTTCATAATTATGTAAAAATGGGACTTACTGGTAATTTCGCTGGATGAAGAAACCTCACTGGAAACATCACTAAATACATCATTAACGATATCATTGATGATTGAATCGCAAATTTCGAGTGATTTTACATGATTTCGTAAAGCTTTTCTCTGGGCAGCATCTCTATCGATTGATGGGAATAACTTCCATACGTTGACAATGTGTTGGAGTCCATCAGTGAGTAGAGCAGACTTATGCTTTGAACAGACAGAAAGGAAACCATACTCCAGCAAAGCAGTAGACACTACGTGACTATTGACGCCAAAAAACGGACCAAAAAGATTCGCCAAGTTGACCTGTATAGCTAGACTAGGTGAGGTTCCTTGCTCGACAAGACTCAGAACAAATTCGACCAACTGAAGAAAAAACTTAACCGGGCTATCAGACAGATACCCCTCTACTGAGTAGGTCATTAAAAGCCTCACATAGTCTGTAACAAACTCCTGTGCCATTGGGAGTGATTCCTCTATGGGTTGTGATAATAGGATAGTGTAAATAAGTTGGAGCAAATCATGGGATATCTGGGCATCTTTCTGCAACTGCTGATTTCGCTCTTGAAACAGTTGAACTAACGAGATTAAAAATGAAGACACGCAACTATGTTCTATGTTAAAAGAAGTCAGCAATATAACTATATTGGATACCACCGTCAAAATCTTGTCGAGCTCTTTAGTACACAGTGAGATACAACTGGTTAGTTCTATAATGCGATCGGCTACTTCAGGATTAAGGAAGAACTCATTAGACCAATCTTCATGCTTTATATAGGCAAGAAAAACAACATAAATAGACTTTAGATCATCAAGAGATGATGGTATGGACACATCTTTGGAAGATGTTCGTAGGATATGCACAAATAGACCAATCATTGCAACTGGACTGCTTGAGTTATATTCTTGCAATGAGGTTTCATTTTGAAAGTCTGAAATAAGATCCTTAGAAGCAGACAAAATTTCTTGAATTGCAACAGAAATGTTAAAAATATCTTCACTATAACAATGACAATGACAATAATAAAAGAGATGATTTTAAATGGATTTACCTAGTAGAAGGTGAAAGACATTTTTTCTTTTCCGTAAGAAGAAACTGAGTGAGATCAAAAAGTCTAAAATGTATTATTGCCCAACTAACAAAACTGGGTTTCATTCTAGAATGTGGAACGGAAAAGAGAATTAACGTGAATAGCTAGTTTTATTGTCATTTCTTATCATACAGTTTGTTGGAATGGACTCCTTGCCAGATATTAACAATACCAGCAGCACACCTCTATAAAAGATACAATATAGCTACAACTCGGAGTCTATTAGTTTTTATGGTTTAATTATTGAGTTAGCTTACCTGCACAATAAGTGAAGGTGTTTCTGGGCCTTTTATGGTAGCAGAAAGGACTGCTATAGCTCTTTGCCAATAACGAGGGATCCGACACATCCTCTCTCTCAGGTTTTCCATTTTCATAATGAAGGTCCCATGCTATCGTGTCACACGATAAACTGTATGCATTACTAATGATGAGACTTACATCTCTACTAGCTGAGGCGTCATCGGCTAACGTCTGACAACCAAGTAAAACCATTTCAAGAGGGTTAATACGATACCAATCCCTGCATTGAACGAGTAAAATAATTTGTGAGTGAAACTGTGCAGATAATTTGCAATTTGTAAATTTGCTTTTTGTTAGCCCCAATCCCTGCCCATTTCACAACCAACATACCGTTCTGTCATTTTCCTAGAATACGCTCGATGTCTTAGTTTTTCTAGGGACCATACAAAGTCTGACCAGTATAACGGAACTTCAGGCAGTGGCACAGTATCTCCTGGACCGGACGGATCGCGATTCACCGGATCTTCCATGGCTAGGGCTAGTACTGTAACCTCCTTACTCCTTAGTCTTCACGGAAGACACAAATATACTAAGGTTAGTATAGTGGAAATCTGATTATCTGAATCAGGATTGATGCTAGCCTGAGTTAGTCCTGAAATCAGTACTGGATCATGCATTTTGGGTAATTTTTAACTCTAATATCTATGGTCATAGATCTACAATCATGAAAATCAGTTGAGAGTTGAGACTCAACATGAAAAGGTTTTGCACATTGGTTCAGGCCAGAGTATCAGACATAATAAGCAATGATACTTATCAGACTGCACCAGTACTGATACCAGACTTGATTCGTTCATTTTGGACAATTTTTGCTCATTCAGGCATGATTACTATTGACTGTGCACTACCGGATACGTCAAAAGCATGCCAGCACGTGGCTAGGTGATGCAGCCACGCCTATGCATTCATGCATATATAATTACTGTGTTGGGTGGGGGTTAGTTTAGGTTTGAAATCGATCGCATTCCTCTGCTAATTTGATGATATAGTTTTGCTGTTCGTCGAGGAGATAAGAGACATGTACAGTTCAAAGCACAATCAGGTAAGTTACATGTCTGTGAAAGAAGTAATCGTAGACCCGGCTTGCTTTTTCCGGCTCACTTTACATATTCTCAAGATAGAATCCTGTTATGATTGATGTCATAGTGCAGTGAGATTTGACTCTCTTGCTATTCAAATTATCATACAATTTGATCCTTTTGTCTCTTAGCAGCTCGCACGTGTTTATTTGAGCATTTTGTGTTGTGTTTGCAAATTAAATCTATTGGAACGATTTATAAATATTGTTGAGCTTAATTAGGTTAATGGTTTCGTCTTTTTAATAATAATAATAGGCACAGAAAAATGGCTGGCTTCACAAAAGAGGAGGCCGAATTCAAACGTGGCATAAAAGATGGTTTGTATTGACCGGCGATCTCTTGTTTTACTACAAATCTCCACAGGTTAGTTCCTTTTGGAATCATAAACACTGCTTATATCTAGAACTAATAGTCTGTGTGTATGACTTGTACTAATTTGGGAGAGCACACACCCAATGCTCATGCCCTTAAATGATATTTGAAGTGCAATCATTGCATAAAATCAGACATTTGGAATAACATTTAACAGTGCCTATAAAAAGCAATTTGTCTTTTGCAGAGATGTATAATAATTACTTGAAAGTAATTAAAAAATTTTGATTGTGCATGTAAAATTATGCCTCATATTGTTGTTTTGAGGCTGTCAATAGAAACATTATCTAATCTTTGACAGTATTCAGTATCCATTGTATTAAATCATACTGACCTCAATAGAAACTAGAAAGTGAGTCCAATGTTTGTATTAATCACTCAATTCACTTGAGACTTCATATTGGGTGATCTATCTCTCTCTTATTTGGCCAGTTTTAGTTCTAATTCATTTGCTTTGTTGGTACAAATTTTTTTATGAGTGATTAGCAAAAAGCAAAAAATTATTTATTAAGACATTGTAATAAGTTTCTGAAAAGATAAAAATAACACAATAACTATAGGATATAGCTGCATGTACTATAGATACTTAGTATCATATTGATACTCGTAGTGTTAAACTTCAATGCTTGCACAATAGCTGTTATTTTTAGTAGTATACTAGGATTTATTATCAAAACTTTGGCAGGTGAAAAAGTGCTGCATCTATCAATACAGTACCTATACTTCAGTGTGTACTGATTAAAAAGAAAAGGGCACAAATTATATATACCTATGCCTATATATGCACGTGTAATGATATTAACTTAAGTGATTCAATATATGCTGTATAGGATTCCAGGCCAACTGGGACAATACCTCTTGCTGGTAATAACGTCATTAGACATCAAGATGACTTCCGTCAGCTACATGCTTGCAAATTTGAGATAATTGGTAAGTTATCTCTACTATCCATTAATGGTCGCTTAATGCCTGTATCATATTCCAGCTGGTAGTGGTAGAGACTCTATTACTTCTACACACGACAGCTACATGATCAGTGCTGAATCGACTGAAGACGCTGATGAATGGGTGGCTGCCATCAAGCGTGTTCTTTATGAAGTAAATGACTCGTTAATAATTAATTCTTTATTGTGTTTGTGTTTGTGTGGGGTAGCCATATGGTGGTGGAATGTTTGGAAGGAAACTAGAGGAGACAATGACAGTAGAGGCTCGCTTAGGAGGGGAGTATGTGCCGATACTAGTACATAGATGTGCAAAGTTTATTTTAGAACATGGTAAGGCCCAAATATTTATAGTAACGTCTACATGTTGTGTGTGTGTGCATGATCAGTGGTGGTTGTAATAATGTGGTTATGTACTACACCCAAATATTTATGTTCATTAGTCTTTGTGTGTAACATGTATTTGTGCTTGCATGGGACCGGGTATGTATTTATAAGCCTTTTAATTATCCTTTGTGTTGCATTTGTGCTTTTATAGTGTCTTTAGTGTTTGCGTCTTCTGCTAATGAAACAGTGACAGTTATTGTTTTGTGTATCACTCAGTTTAATTTCCCCACAACCGTTAATCTATTCATATCTTAATCCAGGTATTAATGAAACCGGTATATTTAGACTACCTGGTCAGAGCAGTCGTGTCCAGGCCTTAAAAGACACGTATGATTGTGGTAAGTCATTTTAGTATCGAGCGAGCATTGAATCCATTGGGTCTTAGGATCACAACTTGATATATCAACTACTGAAGATGTCCACACTGTTGCATCTTTATTTAAATTATACTTGAGGGAATTACCGGAGCCCGTCATACCATTCTCATTGTTTAATGATGCTATTAGAGCATCAAAAGGTAGACTAGTCTTGTCATGTTTATGTTAAACATCATGTAATACTCGTGTTGACATGTGCGAGTGTGGGTGGAATTTGTAGCTATGTACATGTGTATAAGCTCAATTGCCAATGCGATTGCTTTGAAAATTCATTAAAAATTCAATTTTGGTTGGAACAAGCTCAAACTTGTTACACAACATAAGAGCATGTATATATATCAGAAAAAATTGTAAAAAGAGAAAATTCTTTCCTAGTCATTTTTGGCAAAATTTGGCGAATGACCCTGTACTATAGTACAGGGACTTTGGCCCAATTTTTGAGTATTTTAAAATTTGTTAAAAAAACAAATTTGGTCAGAATCAGTTCAAACTTGCTACACAACATAAGAACATCTATACACATCAGGAAAATTATAAAAATAAAAAAAATTGTTGAACCATTTTATAAAATACCCTGTACTAAGTACAGGTGTCTTGAATTCATAGAAAAACTCCAATTTGGAACACTGATTAGCCCCTTGTTTGAAGCTCTAAAAGAAGTTTATTACTAGTCTATGCTATAGAGGAAGATTTACAAGTGTATTTTGCTCTTTTTAATGTGAATAGAGATAGATGCCAACCCTCAGGATGGAATACCAAAAATGATAGAGCTATTGAAAAGGCTCCCAAAATGTAACTACAACCTTCTCAAATACATCTGGTATGCTCTTATTCTTTTAAAATATTTAAATTTTTATCCTCCTCACACAGTCGCTTCCTTTACAGTATATCTCAAAATTCGGATCAAAACAGAATGACAAATGTTAATCTTGCTACAGTTTTTGGACCCAATATCCTTCGACCAGAAGTCAGTGTATCACTGAATATAATATATTATTATTATTATAATCAACAGGCCATCAGTCCTCACAATATAATTGAGAGCTCCAACGCTAGTGCTAATTTCTGTTGTGCACTGATAAGTCATCAAAGAGAGATTTTCCCACTCACAAGTGATGAGAAACCTCCAAAAAGACTGAGGTGGGTCTACTTCCTAGCTATCATTAATAATCCTTTTTTGTATGCCATTATTCACTGTCTGTAGTATTGTCAATTCAGCCGAGATAGCAGAAATGTGTGCTTCAAGTAAATCCATTTCAAAAACAGGAGGATCTTTATTCATAAAGTCCACTTCACCAAAGTTTGAACCCCGAGGTCGACTCGGCTCTGTTCCGTCAAGACTTAATTCTGGCTCACCCCTTCCTCCTGATAATAAATTGAGCAAGAAAAGATTCAATATGGGGCTTGGTAAGGGACACCTAATCCTTTCATGTACTCTTTGCTCTCTCGTTAGAGTCTCCTCGACAGGCCAGAAAGTTTAATGCTTTCTCTGCATTTGGTGATACACTGGAAGTGAAAAAAGAAGCTGATATGAGGAGTGGACGTGTGTCACCTTTAATATTCTCCACATTAAATGATGACGAGGTA